GCAGCAAAGCGTTACACTTCCCTTTGGGAATTGAGAATTCACATACTGTGTACTTCAACACATGTGGGTACAGTAAATACTACTGTACATTCTTATATTAATTGCTCAATAATATGTTTATATACCAACTATAGTTTGAAAACTTACTAGTATTTGCGTTTTCTGTATGCAATGTGAATTTCGCACACGTGCGTGTGTAAATTCGTCAATAACAATATATTTTTGTTGTTCTAGAGCACTGGTCGGCTAACTTACACAATTAAAATAAAAAATAAAATTTTGAATTTTTAATCCAAGCATATTTTTTAATCTCTCAACTTCGAGTTTAAAAAATTAAAATTTAATTTTTAAACCTAGCATCGAAATAAGTAAATGATATTGAAAATCTAATGACACAACTGTTTTATTTCCAATGCGTGATCTGCTGTCCTAACGGTTTGTATTCTAACGACACAATTATCGTTGGGTGTTATGCGGTTTCAGTTGAGAGAATCTCTATTCTGGATATATTAAAATAATCCTGTTTCAAGGTACATGGTTGAAAATGTTGCACCAAATATTTCATAACAAGAAAAAACGTTAACTTCGGTTGCACCGAAGCTATAATACCCTTCACAAATACAAAGGCCCGTTACATGAACTTGATTCCGGACGTTCAATTTGTATGGCAGCTAGATGCTATAGTCACCCGATCTGAATAATTTCTTTGGAGATTAAATTGTTGCCTTAAATAATAATCCGTGCCAAATTTCGTGAAGATAACTCGACAAATGAAAGAGTTTCCCATACAAACACTTGATTCCGATTGTTCAGTTTGTATGGCAGCTATATGCTATAGTGGTCCGATATCGGTAGTTCCGATTTGTGAGAAAAGGACAGGTGCAAAATTTCAGATCGATAGCTTAAAAACTGAGGGACTAGTTTGTATATACTATACAGACAGACGGACAGACAGACAGTCGGACATGGCTAAATCAACTCAGCTCATCATGCTGATCATTTATATAACTTAATATACCCTGTTTAGGGTATAAAAATAACCATAAAGTACTTTCTTATTAAATATATGTTAATGTAACCAATTACTTTGAAATCAATGCGAGTTTTGAAGCGTGCATCTGGCACGATATTCTACTCCACGCTCCTTGAGTTTCAACCAACTGCGTCACGTACCATTACTTTACCGTTGGTCTTCTCGTCTTAGTTAAAATTATTGTACGTGATGGAGTGCTTAAATTCAGTCTTCATATTTATTTGATGTGAAGTACAAGCGGAAGAATATTTATCCTCAATTATTATAAATTATCGAAATACATAACCTAAACACGTGCCGGACTTTGCTCTTTAGTGTTTCAATGCTTTGCCTCAGATTGATTATGAAGTTTCCCTTAATATTTCTTTGATTCAATATACAGTTTGACGATAGGAGAAAAATAACGTTTTCACTTAAGGTAACAGTATTATAATTGTATGCATGTCAATGTAGTGCTGTTGCTCGCAATTTACAATATCGGCCGGAAATTACAAAATCGCGTTTCTGGATGTACAAGTATAATAATATCGCAGACGTTGAAAAATATTCTTGACAAGCTTACTGATAGCTTTTGGTAAATTTGAGTTTTTAGATTTAGAGCAATAAGTAAGATTTCTATTTATTTATGATAGGTTATATTGAATAGGCGCGATAAAGATAGAAGCAAGACCACTTTTAATTTACTACTAATTTACAATCTTAGATTACTAGTGACGGGTAGGTATCACGTGGACTATCGAGGAAAATAATCTACTCAATGAGTGACAAATATGTTAGTTCGAACTTACCATAAGTAGTTAGTTACAGTATACTTTTAACAAATAAGCATACACTCCATAAAAATTATTAACAATTTAAACTAGATATAGGGAAAAAGTCGAAATTTGCTCATTTTATTCTCATTGCAGCTTCTTTCTGACATCCAGACACCTATGAGTTATTTTGTGATAGTAACATGTTAAATTGAGTGGCAAATGTTAGTGCAATTGCCAACAATCTCTCATGATTTATGGAAATTTTATCAAATGATTTACTTACACTAAAAAGGCAAGTAAGTGTGCTACGCTGATGTCTAGACATCATAGCATACAGCATAACAGAATGCTGTTTCATTGTTATTATTGTTTTTATATACCCTGAACAGGGTATATTGAGTTTGCAACGCTGTTTGTAACACCTAGAAGGAAACGTCGGAGACCCTATAAAATATATATCTGAATGATCAGCATGATGAGCTGAGTCGATTTAGCCCTGTCCGTCTATACGCGAACTAGTCCTTCGGTTTTTGAGACATCAGTCTGTAATTTTGCTCACATTTTTTTCTCCCCAAGAAGCCGCTCATTTGTCGGAACGGCCGATATCAACCGAAGTAAACGTTTTTTATTGTTCTTGTTTTACTTTGCAAACAACGCTGCAAACAACGCTGCACTATATAATATTAGTAGCAACATCTAAACGTAACTCTTGCGCTTGTGCTTTAGAATCGGCAATTACTTTAAGTTTCTACTCAACTCTTCGCCATGTTTGGTCGGTCATTAGAGTGATGTGTCCAAATGAGAAAATGCATAAGTATATATATGTGTGTGTGAGCTAATGGGTTTTAACGTCTAGCGCCAATGCTGGTTTTATACTCCGTTTACTTTTATCACTTAACATTAATGTCATGCGATAATTTCAGCATGTCTTCCTCTACACAACTTTCCCTTGCGAGTTTCAGTATGAAAGCGGCGCTGTTGTTGCTATTGCTGCAACACTGCATAAAAGGCAAAAAGAACGGAAGTGTTCCTTGATATAAGCGAATTGAGTAAAAAGAGAACAACCTTCAATAGCTATATTGTTGTTGCTTTTGTATTTGCCGCTTTGCCATTGATCCTTCATACGCGGTTGTCATCCTTAAGTTCGTGGTCAAAACTGTGCACAGTGAACTTATTTTTGCTCAAAGTGTAATTTCTTAAAAGTTTTTCCACAATGTTGCTCAACCGAGCAAAAGAAGAAACATAAAAAATACCAAGAATAAAATATAGAACAAACAGCAAATACTTCAAGGTTCAGTAGCACCAGCAACAAAAACATAAACAGCAACCACCACAATGGTTTAGTGGTTTTGCTCTAAATTTTCTTGAAACTTTAACGAATGAGGCATGCAGCCTTCAATTCTTCGCTGATGGGCGTCATAAATTTCAGAAACGTTGTAGGTTGATTATAGGGCACAGCAGAGGCTGCGTCTTGAGAGACGGCAAGAAAATCTCGGCTAACGCATGTCGTAAAAGATAAGAAAATTCAATTATAAATAAAAAAGAAACAAAAGTAAAAAAATGAGGCTTAATCAAAATAATTAAAGTGTATCTAAGCGAGTGAAGAAATTTACTACCGACATATAGTAAGCATTGCGGTGCGTTGTGTTTTTGTAATGAAATAGCTTGCATGAATTTAAAGAGGTTTTAAGAGTTTATTAAGCATTGATATTTCTCCGCTTTTGTTTTCATTTGCTGTCATTGGCATTCGACAGCGCCAGGATATCTCTAATAAATTTAGAAGCGCGTTAGAAGCTAAAGTTGATGTACGTATTTTATATACATATATACATTAGGGTGAGTAAAAAAAACAAGAATATTTGGTACTATGAAATATAGGTTCTTAGACACCTCAAAAAAAGTCTTTCCTAGTATGAGCTCTTCTCTTCATATATTTTTCTTATATCAGATAAATAAAAACTCAGCTTGCACTTTTTTATATTTTTGTAGGAAATTGAATGCTTTATAAAATGGTCTCTTACGATTTTTCCGTAAACCTAACCGTTTAAAAGATATTAACGGTTGAAGTTTGATTAACTCAAGACAAGTTGGTTTCTTTTTATTTTTAAGAATTTCATAAGTTTATGAAAAAAAAGCAAAAGCAAAATTTTCACTTGTCACACACCTTTTTTTTTGGCTTTTTAATAGATTACACGCCTACTTGTTGAATTGGACTTCGCGTGCATAACGGCACTTATATGCTGTGCACATAACTACATGATTTGTACAATGAAAACTGAGAACGCGTTCGAGTGGCTGTGGCGAGCGACCGTCTGCGGCTTCGTGTGACATTAATTGACTTGAGTAGGCGTGTTGTTTAGGTATAATGAACCGGAACCAAGTAAAGGGATGGCAAAGCAATGCGCTGGGTTAAAAGGATTTGTAGTTCTTTGGTTGGTTGAAGGTATTTCGTTTGGTCAGTTTGACTAAATTTTTGAATATCTTTTTTATTTGTTTACTTCTCAACTTCAAGCGTTTGGCGCAACAGGCGCGTGATAAAATCATAAGTGTGAAGCTATTAGTAAATATTTGGAATAACTAGAGCATATGTAATAAATATTTTTGAATGCTGGTAGCGCAGCAATTAAGTTATTTCAGAAGGTGAAAATAAAATATATATACTATTATGGTAGTTTTTGTTAAAAGATATAGATAAGGTAAACATATTGAAAGGAGTACGCCATTTTTAGGCGGAGTGCAGAGTGTGGCGAATTATGTAATGCAGCAGTGAAGGTAAGGATTCATTAAAAAAAACTCACTCGCTTCTTGAACTAAATTTTAATTGCATAGTTATTGACTTCTTTATCTATGACCAAACAAAGCTTTGAACCTTTTGAAACTGTTAGACCGCTCAGAGATGGAGGACACAGAGTGATACTACGAGACTTTTTTCACACCATGAGTAGTGAGTTTCGTTGCGTTGCTCTTTAATACACCATGCCAGGCTTCTTTACTGAAATAAATTTTGCATATAATAAACAAAATTTTGAAAGTCACTTATTATTCCATACAGCAACAATATCAAATACCCATCCAATATTCTGATGACACAAACATAAATGAGTTTTTAATGTGTAATCGACGGTAAAGATAATTACAATAACATAGATGCGAAAGGTAACGTCAATAGCCACCACACTACTACTTTACATGAATGGACGTATTGAGCTTACCGTGCACGACGTGACGCCCTGAGCGGAGACAGTGCAAATTTGCCTCCCAAATGACGAGATGTATTTGATGGCAGGCGAGAGCTTCGACATGGTATGCTGTCTGTAATTAGGCAATAAAAGGTGAGACGAAGGTGGTAAAAATAAGAGATGACACTTTACTAAGGGTGCTTGGAGTGCAACTTATATAAAAATTGACAAAAGTCCGACTATGTATGCGTGTATGTGTTAATGAAAATTGAAGGTCATGAAGGCGTAACATTGTGTAATATGCTTTAAAAATTGCCGACCATATCGCAGCAATTAATCTCAAAAGTTGTCAGTTGCAACTGATGATGAAAAAGGTAATGAAAAGAAAATCCAAAAATAACATGGTTTTCAGTATACCATTTAGTCATCTTCTTCTTATTTTTGCTGTCGCTTTTACTTACAACCTTACACACCTTACTTAATTGCATAAATACATTAACGGTAAATTATAAGTGTGAAGTAAAAATAAATTGTAAATCAGCATCCTACAACTTGCACTCACCGAAATGGATGACATATCGCTATGTCACGTTCAACAGCAAATGTCGTTATTGTCAACACGTTTGCATTGGTGGCTGTCTCCGCTAAAACACTTCCAATTATGCAAATTACATCGCCAAATGGAAAGGCTTTGGGGTACCAATAATTGTGCACGTCTTGAGGTGCACCTGTTAAAAAAGAATAAATTAAATATACTAGGAAACTTTATTGTAGACAGTATTGAGGAAGAAAATATACCAATAAATTTAAAGTTATATGTATGTAAGTATGATATTATTCTTTAATAGTGAGTCGCATACTATCCATAACCTACCGAATGAATGGAATACTTAAAATTTAATCAATCTCAATATGCAGACTTTCAGAAAATATCATCGACATATTTGATCATAAAACGACTCAACAACAAAATGGAAAATAGTCTTTAGTAGTCAGGTTATGTTATAGGACATCAATCGGCATGCTCGAAGTTGTTGAAGTATAGTAAACACTATAATATCACTATGATGTGTTTCTTCTAATACCTATATAAATTCAAAAAATTCTTACATACATATATCATATGTTCAAATATAATATGTGTTTGTTTATGCAAGTAACCAAAAATTTTAAAATAATCATAAACAGCAGTGACCCTATTTCATTTTGCAGTATGTATATTTTGTAGTATATATACATGCATCTGTGGAATGCTGATAATACTTTTCACATTCTCATGCTGGAAACAGTCACCGACGCAAAACCGTAGACCGAATCAGCTGGACGACCTCTCTTATGAGAGCACAATGTAAATGAGCACTCACCACCGCTTCTACAATCAGCTTCTACCGCCCGCTTCTACCGTTGAAACGAGATAGCTGATTGCTCTCACGAGTTTGGTGATTGCTCTCTTACAACGCAGGGTTACCAGTTTTGATATTGTATTTTGTACTAATAAAAAAAGAAACATCAATATACAAGTATTTGAATTACTATCTCAAAATTACTTAAATCAATTGTATATTGATAAATAAGTAGACGATCTTTAATAGTTAGATTTTAGTTTTGCGCTTTTACTTTATGGAAAATTAACTAACTGTGTGAAAAACCGCGTATACAAATAGAACAATGGCAATATTGGTGAAATGAAAACAAAAGAGAACCACTGATTTCGACGTTGTTACTACGGGCATAACGGCGGTAAGTACAGAAAGGCGGAATGTCGGCGACTGTTTCCAGCATCCAGGACCAGACACACTTTACTTCACTGATGTTGAGACGCTGGCCAAAGTACTCGCGACAATTCCAACCGTTGCCAGTTGAGGCCGCCAAAGTGCGTGGGAAAATCTTTTGCTTGGCTGGAAGAGGGTGATGATTAGAATGAAAATTAGATTTTCTGTATTGGGTGTGCGACGATGGCTGTAAAAAAAAATATTGTGGAATACATGTATCAGTATGTGTATGTATGTAAATACTTTAAATTTATTTTTATATGCAAATAAAGTGTCACACATATTTAAGTTGACAAACATGTATTTTCTTGACGACACAAAATCAACAAAGCCATTTTCGTCTTTACAAAAATTTAATGCGTCTGTCTTTTTGTTGCTTTGCGGTTTGTCAAATATGTCAAGCAGTCAGCTGGAACAAAACACACGTGTTTGCTTTAGCTCGAATCTTTACCTTACACCGAACTCGTGCATGTCGTAAATTTAGTAGAATGACAGCATAAGCTAAAGTTAAAAGTTTACAAAACCTTTGCATTGCTTGTGCGGAAGCTCCCACACAAAAACAGCGCAGATAGGAGCGGAAACTCAAGTAAGTTAAAATATGTATTGAGTTTGAAAACTTTGCTCTTTAAATAAAAAGTGCGAATATTTATAAACGCGTGCGAGGAAGGAAAAGAAGAAGAAAATGCGAAAAACAGACTATTGTGCACTTCGTATAAAGTGAACAAGGGGTTAATGATTTTGGTAAAGAAGTTCGAAATAAATGTCTACGTATTTATGTATTTCAATTTGTTTCCTTTAGTTTAACCTTGCATTGTAAGGCATTAAAAAAGTTTTAAAATACAAGCATATTCATCAAAAAGTGTTTAAGCTGGTGAAATGAAGAGTCAGCTTTGAGTTTATGAGCAGTGTTTAGGTCACAAGCTGGTGTTTTAAGTGCAGTACTATTTTTTATATTTTAAATTATCTTTTCTCTCACGACATCTTTCCCTTAGAGTATTTCGCTCACTTTTTCTATAGAACATGCACTGACTATTAATCAGGAATGACTCATGACATTTTTTCTTATAGTGAATTCAATGAACCGATATAGAAATTTTTTTGGCAGCCGACAACAATTCTTTATATATTATATAGGTCAAATAAATAGGAGGGAAAAATTACATTATACAAAATAAGAAGTTAATCGTATTAACAAGTTCAACCTGCTCCGTACATTTTCAGAGCATTGCTGCTTACATTTCAAATATGTTTTTGTGTTCTTGAGCTCGTATGAGAGCCCGTTTAGAGCTGGTGTGTATATTAGCAAAATGGGAATGTATCTAGCATAGATATGTATATATTCGAATACTTGCATACTCAAATTATAACGCAAATCTTTTTTGATACCTTCCTTACTCTCACATTTAACGACTTTCTATCTCTTATAGGGAAATATGAGAAAATCAGTTTAATTTCACGCTTCGTGGTTTGCAAGTTTTTTGTTGTCAGCAAATTGACAAAAGTGTGAAATTGTATACCATTGAAAGCATTAATGTGAGTATATGTGCGTGTGTTCTTCAGTATTTAATCGATTGGCATTCTCCGCCTGTCTGCCTTTATCGCCACGTTTCTAGCGTTGTTCTAAGTCCCAACACTTAAGGCTAATTAGAATTGTTTACCACAGTGTGCTGTTCGGTGGAAATTCATTTAGACTAGGCTATTTCATTTTAATGCTTGAAATTTCAATACTTACGGTGTTTTAGCATTTTGCTGGCGCAAACGAAATATACAAGGATTATGCGAGTAACTTAATAATTTTATCTCACTTTAAACGAATTAATTAAGGTAAAAAGCACTTTGGAGCTGATTTTTTGTAATTCGGTACTTAAAAAGTTGGCTAAGCCGGAAAAGTTGCACGGAGTACAAATTGCGGTTTAATTGGTGAAATAAAATGTTTCACAAGGAGCGTCCTCCGTTGAACTTGTATGCCACCGCATAACTCATTTTCTTAAATTTATTACATGACATGGCAAATTTATAACTTCAGCACACTTTCACTTACTCACTCTCTCCTAAGAACATCATTAACACAAATGAGTAGTTAACGGGAATTTTGCTGAGTCTGACAAATTTTAGTTCCGAAAACTTTCAGCACAAACAGTGAAGCTAAAAGATAACAATTTAACCACAACTTTGCATAAACAAGCTTAACGGTGTATTTTGCACCCAATTGGCACGCGGAGAGATGAAGTGAGATAAAAATAATGGTATATGGTAATTTAACTTTAGAAATTAAAGAGAAAATTGCGAGAAGCTTTGCTTTCGGGGAATGTAATTATATTATATATAACTGTATGGCTCGCAAATATTTTTATATTTTCGAATTTTATATTTCGATTAACAAAATGGTATGAACAACTTTTCTTCAAAATAAACGAGATCGGTCTATGTCTTTGGCAAGCTCTCATAGCACACAACTTCAAATGATAAATATCACATTTAATGTTGCTTTTATGCAAACTTAATTCTTTGTTGCTTATTTCAAATTCAATTGTATGTGTACATGTAAAAAAATATTCGGTTAGCAGTTTTGTGACTATGTAAACTCTAAAATAAACAACGGCTTTTATTTTTAACATTAATGTATTCGTTTATGTATTTATTTTATTTTGCCACTCAGCAGGTGTGACCGAAAAAGGGTCAAGCGAAGGCAATAAATTGAAGACAGCGGCACGTGTTGCGAGCGTAAATCAGCTAACGGTTGTATGGAAGACTAAACGAAACAGTTTGGAAGAATGAGTACAGCCTGGGGTATATAAAGAGTACATATCCATCACGACATATGTTGTATTGCATATATTTGCTATTCGCTATATTTATAACCTTCTGACAGTCTGGAAACTTATTTCACGGAATACCAAGTTCGCAGAAGTGCAATGTGTGCAACAAGACAGTTTTTGCATTTTTTTCATATATATGTAAATATTATTAAATGCAACAAGTCATTGCTATCAATATCAGCAGCAAAGCAAATATTATATTTTCAATGTCAACATTTCAACAACAAATGACCAAAAAAGGTGTATACCGCTTATAAATCCATAGCGTCCAAATATATATATATATGAGTAATGCTTTAGTTATGCCAATCCTTTATGTATATATTACATTTTACAGTGCAGCACTGCTGAAAGTAATGTTAATGAAGTGCACTTTAAATATTAGGTGTAGTAAAAAATCTAAGAAAGAAATCTATTATTTTTGCATGAAATTGTTTTCGATAATTGGTCTTCCAGAGCATAATGCATCTTTGAAATTACCGGAACGGAATCGACGAAATCTAATAATGCCTTGATTTAAATTTTTTGTTAAAGTCTTTAAGCTAAAACCACCATGCACCCAATATTTTTCCTTGCATTGCTGTTGCTACTAAAATGGGTAGTTAATATTAGTAAAATTGTGTTATATATAAAAATCATAAAGAACAAATCGCCTTTTTGGCAAAACAGTAACCAACCAAAATCATATTCGAAATGAATGAACAAAGAATGTGAGGATAAATCTAATTGTGCTCACGCATGTGCGGAAGCATAAAAGAATCTGAAAACAAATGACATAAATACAATTACCAAGACTCACCAAAGTAAATGAATTTGCATAAAATGGGAATATAACAACTTGCGTATGTTCGTGTGTATCTGAGTGAGAGAGAGAGTGGAATTTATAAAAATTTCCGAATTTCCAAAAATTAAAATTTATTTGCCTATATTTAGGCGTTGTACATATCTATAGACATATTTTTATAACTCTACATTCATATGTATATCTGCTCTCAGCGTACGGCACAGTAACCATAAACTTCTACATTTTAATTTCTTTACAGCAATCATATGCAGCAGGTAACGAATTGCGGTTCCAAGTACCGTCGTCATCTTGTAGGCTTAATGTACGTATCTTAAAATTTAGTAGGTTCTGAT